AGGCAGAATTTATGACTGTGTTGATTATAGGGAAATCTTTAAAAATTCCGGACATTCAGGTCATTGTATTTTTGTATAGAAACATAACTTTTAAATATTCCTCATATTGTATTGTTTTTACTTTTCTTATAAAACTAATGAATCCATGACCTTATATCATGAAATATGCATGGCAACAAGGATAAGCAATATAAATGCTATTTTGGGTTATTTATTCTGTTTATGGCATATATTTTAAAACAATACCCAATACCAGAGATCTGCTTCTTCATACCACAATATTATTTTCAATGATGATTCATAAAGCAAACATTTTTCATTTTGTTTTATTAAATTTCTCTTGCCTCTTCTTTTTAAATATTTTTCTCCTTTGCATTCTGCCTCTCACATCAAGACTGTCAGCCTCACCAGGTAACCTTGACCTGTTCACAAAGTCACCACAGACTTTGGAATATTAATTTGAAATTTCATCTTCTACAATTTTTTTAAAAATTTGAAAACTACCTTTTTATCAGTATACACACCAGAGAAACTTTTTGAGCAAAGATGAGACAAGTATTTAAAAGCCAAATCCCTGATGACATTAACCCAGCCAGAGGGTTGTCTGCCATCCCTGGAGGGTCACAGTTCCCAGAAGAGCACACACTGCATCTGGCTGAAACCCATCAATGACTGATGTAGAAGCAGCATCTGGCTGATGATAAAACAGTCCGATAAAAGGTGGATGTTCAGCCCATCAGCTGAATGTTTGTTTTACATCTTTTCAACATCTGGCTTTTTGGCTCTTTTGTTCATCCAATCATCAGTTCAACAAACATTTATGAAGAGTACACTCTTCGCCAGATGCAATAGTAGGCACTGGGGAATAGAAAAATGAGTGTGTTCCCTTCCCTCAAAGTCACACAATCCTGTGTACATGTAGGGAGGTGGAGGGAAAGATCAGGGCCGTAAACGACCAGCCCTAATTGGGAAGGTGCAGCACCCTTCCAGATCAAGGTGGGGTAGGAGGTGACGTCATGCCATGAGGCAGAGGGGTTAGAAGAGGCTTTCCTGAAGCAGTGGCCTGCAAGCTGGGCCTTCAAGGGTGTCCTGGAAGTTTCTGGCTGGACAGAGAGGTGAAGGGCATTGCTCCCATAGTGAACCATGTGGTCAAAGGCCAGAGCACAGGAGGTATCTGTGTGCCCAGGGAAGGGCAGATTGTCCACCACAGCTAAGGCAGAGGCCATGGCAGGCTGGCAAGACATGTGCTCGGGAAGCTCAACACAGATGAGACTGTGAGGGGCCTGAAGGACATTCTCAGCAGTCTGACTTTATCTTCGAGTGTTGAGAATTTCCTGCAAGTTGTCTATGTAGCATGCACGCTAAGTCACTTCAGTCATGTCCCACTCTTTGTGACCCCATGGACTGTAGCCCACCAGGCTCCTCTGTCCATGGGATTCTCCAGGCAAGAATTCTATAATGGTTGTCATGCCTTCCTCCAGGAGATCTAACCGACCCAGGAATCAAACACGCATCTCCCTCGTTTCCTGCATTCACAGGAGGGTTCTTTATCACTAGTGACACCTGGGAAGCCCATTTCTATCCAAATTAAACTTCAAAATAACAAGCTGATTGTTTTTGTTTGTTTGTTTGTTTTTACTTTTCTTGCAGGTAATGTCACCCAATTATCACGGAATTCCGTACAGTGTTGGGGGAGTCTTCCGAGGGTTTGGCCCTTAAATTCGGTCCTATCTGAAAAGTGATATCCCAGCTCTGATATTTTGAGTGGTTACACTCTATATACATTTTATTACATCTCCACCCTTAAAATGAAGCCAATTATCTTCATCCACTTCCTTAGTTGGAGAGAGAGAAAGTTTACCTGCATCTTTTCCTTATTGTCGCATTCACTAAGATGCTTAAGTCTGAGAGCAGTTCTCATTCTGGCATCTGTTCATTTTGGAAGCATTTATTCAAATTGAAAGGACCCCCATACACCTTATGTGATACTCCAAACAACCAGTGGTTCTAACAGAAGCTGCTCTGGGTGTCAGGTCCCAACACCTGCCCTGTCTACCCCATGTTTATTTTATTCCCATTGGAAATGGTGGAGAGGCATTCATTTAGAGAGATGTTTCTGAGTCCTTGCTCAGGCGCTATGATGTGTCCAACCTTTTGCGACCCCATGAACTGCAGCATGCTAGGCTTCTCTGTCCTTCACTGTCTCTCAGCATCAGGGTCTTTTCCAATGAGTCGGCTCCTTGCATCAGGTAGCCAAAGTTTTGGAGCTTCAGTTTCAGCATCAGTTCTTCCAATAAATATTCAGGATTGATTTCCTTTAGGATTCACTTGTTTGATCTCCTTGCAGTCCAAGGGACTCTCAAGAGTCTTCTCTAGCACCACAGTTCAAAAGCATCAATTCTTCAGTGCTCAGCCTTCTTTATGGTCCAGCTGTGACATTTGTACATGACTACTGAAAAAACCATAGCATTGACTATAAGGATATTTGTTGGCAAAGTGATGTCTCTGCTTTTTAATACGCTGTCTAAGTTTGTCATAGCTTTTCTTCCAAGGAGCAAGCATCTTTTAATTTTGTGGCTACAGTCACGTCCACAGTGATTTTGGAGCCCAAGGAAATAAAATCTGTCACTGTTTCCACTTTTTCCCCTTCTGTTTGCCATGAAGTGATGGTACCGGATGCCATGATCTTAGATTTTGAATGTTGAGTTTTAAGTCCACTTTTTCACCTTCCTCTTTCACCATCATCAAGAGGCTGTCAATCCTGGTCATACAGAATTACCTGGGAAGTTTTAAATTTTTTCTAAATTTAAAAAATTAATGTCTGGGACATACTTCCCAGAGTTTAATAGATATGAAATGGGGCCCAGGACTCAGGACTTTAAAGTATATCAGGCTTTAAAGTATATCAGGATTGGGACCATTAAGAGAGTGATATCTGGGCCACTGCAGCATTCTGACTCTACTCAAGGACGTTGTATCAGCATCCTAACCTTGACTCTGGGCACACATCCCTCTTACAGTTCTGAGCCCAGCCCCCTGAGCACAGACCCCCATGAGTTCTGAGTGGCCACTGCTGCAACAGGAAAAGCTCCTACGGCACAAACACCCAGCCCTAAATTTTCAGCAAGCACAAGGGCAGCTGATTCAAGAAAAGGGACTCTTCTTGAAGAAAACGGAGCTCTCCTTAGAGTTTTTGCAATAAAATTACCCCAGCACAGCATAGTAATGATTGGTATATTATTTAAGGTTAGATTTTTTTTCTTGTTTCTGTTTCTTAGCATTTGTGTCTATACCTCCTGTAAAATTTTTTATACCATTTTTAAAGTTTACTTGCCACTTACAGTACATGTTGTTCCATACATTCTTGAGCTTGTATTACACCCAGTAGTTGGTATCTCCCACTCCTCCACCTGTATATTGCCCCATCCCCCCCACAACTGGTAACCACTATTTTGTTTTCTATGAGTCTACTTCTTTTTTGTTGTATTCACTAGGTTGTTGTATTTTTTAGATTCCACATATAAGTGATTTCATACAGTATTTGTCTTTCTAATTAGGGTTCAGTTCAATTCAGTTGCTCAGTCATGTCCAACTCTTTGCAACCCCATGGACTGCAGCACGACAGGCCTGTCCATCACCAACTCCCGGAGTTTACTCAAACTCATGTCCATTGAGTCGGTGATACCATCCATCCAACAATCTCATCCGCTGTCGTCCCCTTCTCCTCCTGCCTTCAATCTTTCCCAGCATCAGGGTCTTTTCAGATGAATCAGCTCTTCACATCAGGTGGCCAAAGTATTAAGTTTCAACTTCAGCATCAGTCCTTCCAATGAATATTCAGGACTGATTTCCTTTAGGATGGATGAGTTGGACAGATTAAAAAGGATAAGAAACCCAAAGTCACAATAGTTTAAGTAAGAGAGAAAAGCGTTTTTCTCTTATACACACACAGGCCATCCAGGGCCAGTATGGTGTCACCACCAGGAGGTTAGGCTGCTTCCATCTTTTTGCCTATCACTATCCAAGATGGAAGGTTAAATTTTAGACAACATGTTCATGTTGCAGCCAGCAACAAGGAGAGGGGAGGGACAAATGACACACTGTCTTCTTGTGTGTTTTTCCATGAAGCTGCACACAACCTTCCATTTACATACCTTTGCCCAGCACTCAGTCACATGGCACCTTCAAGGGAGGTCAGCAAATACAGTCTGTATGCCAAAGGGTCATGGGCCCAGCTAAAAACTGAGCATTTCTGTACTACTGCAAGGAGCCAAAAATCTTAGAATAATAGCTTCCTGCCCCACCCCTACAAACAACTGGATGATATTCATTCAGTTACATGTAAATGACCTGTCTGATTGGGGGCCTGTTGAAAACCACTAAAATGGGGAGATTTTTCTTGTATCCCAAATTTCCATGGCTCTTGCTCCCACTGCCCAGAAAAAAAAAACACCAATCCTATAAGAAACATATTACAGGAAGTTCAAAAAACTAAGCCTCAGACCTGCTACCCCTCCAATAGTTGAGAGAGGATGGGCTGTCTACATGGAGAGAGGAAGGGCTGCCTTTTCTGCAGAATAATTCCTCCAGATTTACATGGATGCCAGGAGCTCTCTCTCCTTCATTCTGGAAGAAGCACAGATTATTTTCACTGCATTGTAAATATGTTTAACACTCTATTATATCACCTGTTAAACCAGTTGTCTTGGGTGACTGCAAATCATAGTTTAGAAACAACTCTCTAAGATTTAAAGGCTCTCAAAATTCCTGGATGCTCTAGTTAAATGTTTAAGATTAAGAGTGAAGGATATAGACCTTGCTACAAAATTCGTTTCAAGGTGCAGAAACAATCTCCTTTGGGTTGGTTCCTGGATTTTCTTCCCTATTTATTTATTTTTTCTTTTCTCACTCTGCAGTAAGCCAAGGCTAAGGTAAGAATTGGATTGGCAGTCAAACATGCTACTGTCTTATGCAGAGTCTGCTTTCTCTTCCTCCCCCAGTGTTCCAGGACCTGCGGCGGGGGCATCCAGAAACGCGAGGTTCTTTGCAAACAGCGCATGGCTGATGGGAGCTTCCTGGAGCTTCCCGAGACCTTCTGTTCAGCCCCCAAACTGGCCTCCCAGCAAGCCTGCAAGAAAGATGACTGTCCTAGTGAGTGGCTGCTCTCTGACTGGACAGAGGTATGTGTGCTCCTCAGAAGGAGATAGCAAAAGAGGCATAAGAGGAGAAGGTACCCAGACTTACAGATACAGAAGGAGAGAACAGAACAAAAGAAATCTCCTGGCACTGTGGANGGGGGGGGGTGGGGGGGGTGGTATTTTGTTTTTTAAACTTATTTTCTTGGCTGTCTTGGGTCTTAGTTGTGTCATGCGAGATCTTTCATTGCAACACACAGACTCTCAAGTTGTGGCACATGGGCTTAGTTGCTGTGCAGCATTTGGGATCTTAGTTCCCCAACCAGGGATCTAACGTGTGTTCCCTGCATTGCAAAGTGACTTCTTAACCAATGGACCATCAGGGAAGTCCCTGAGTTGTTGTTGTTGTTGTTGTTGTTGTTGTTGAATCTTCTTTGCAGTGTAGGTGATTTACAGTGTGGCGTTACTTTCAGGTGTAGAGCAAAGTGAATCAGTTATACGTGGAACAGAGTTTTTGTAAGCATTGATACCATAGTGAGTAACTAGCTTTTAACTAGGCTGCAGGGATGGGAGTTGTTAAGCAATCAACCCTCACTCAACAATCAGGAGCGGAGAATTGAAAATGAACCCTTCATGGAACAAACCAGGCCGCGTTTGTACTATTTGGATCCAGGATTTTACTGAGAACACCAGGTTCCCCCTCTCCATTCACTCCCACCTTCCTGACACTCCCCCTCCCCTGCCGCCCGCCCCACATCTCTTACTCACAGATGTTTCTAGTCTCTCCTCAGGAAAGGCAAAGCCTCTCTAGTTCTTCTCATCCAAGTTACTGGACAATGAGGCGTATGATTTATTAGGAAAAGAAGGCCAAGGAAATCCTGCCTCCTTCCTGTCAGTTTCCTGGATCCAAAACGTCAACAGCTTCCCAGCAGGAGAAGTTGATTTCCCCCGATGCCCTGCATCTAGGGAGATGACCACATCGGCATTACCATTCCTGACTTACCTCATCAGTTAAGGATAGACCCCCGACTAACCTGCTTCTCTAAATCATTCCTACTTCAACACTCGCCTGAACTAACTCATCGACACCCAGCTCCAACTTGTTTTCAGCCTCTACTCCTTCTTTGATTTCCCTGCAACTCCCCCAGCTTCATAGGTCCCGTGTCTTTCATAGAAACCACCCCCACCAAAAGTCTCGCCTCGCAAGTAGATTCAGCCAAGAACGGAATTACAAGGCCTGAAGTGAAAATCTCAGGGCCCAAACCAAATTCAAAACCCTTCTCTTTCTTGCCTAGAAGCCTCTGGATTGGCCTTGTCGATCTCACTGCCTCCTTTGTAGACCATCCAACCCACAGGACAGAGCCGCTGCTGCTGCTTGAAATCCATCACAGAGGTCCTTGCTGCACCAGAGGGGAATGCAGCTGCCTCTAAAAATGAAGATGCCACATCATTCAGCCTATGTTCTGAGAATTCTCGCCCTGTGTTTTATCTGCCCATGCAGAGGTCCATCAGATGACACCTTCTGAGTACACTGCAGTTGAGATTTAACCTATGTCATCATAGGTTTTGCAGTTTGGCAGTAAAATTTGGTCTTCTGATGGTAGTTCCCTGCAAATGTCTCAGAACAGAAGGGGGAACGATTTTTATCATCTTTTAGAAGTAATTTTGTTTCAGAAGGATGAAGGATTTGATGTGTGGGATGAGTGTATGTGTATGTGCATGTGTGAACATGCTCAGTTCAGTTCAGTCGCTCAGTCGTGTCTGACTCCTTGCGACTCCATGAATCACAGCACGCCAGACCCCCCTGTCCTTCACAAACTCCTGAAGTTTACTCAAACTCCTGTCCATTGAGTCGGTGATGCCATCCAGCCATCTCATCCTCTGTTGTCCCCTTCTCCTCCTGCCCCCAATCCCTCCTGGCATCAGGGTCTTTTCCAGTGAGTCAGCTCTTCACATGAGGTGGCCAAAGTATTAGAGTTTCAGCTTCAGCATCAGTCCTTTCAATGAACACCCGGGACTGATCTCCTTTAGGATGGACTGATTGGATCTCCTTGCAGTCCAAGGAACGCTCAAGTCCTCTCCAACACCACAGTTCAAAAGCAGCAAATTCTTCAGTGCTCAGCTTTCTTCACAGTCCAACTCTCACATCCATACATGACTACTGGAAAAACCATAGCCTTGACTAGACAGACCTTTGTTGGCAAAGTAATGTCTCTGCTTTAAAATATGCTATCTAGGTTGGTCATAACTTTCCTTCCAAGGAGTAAGCATCTTTTAATTTCATGGCTGCAGTCACCATCTGCAGT